TTTGATCAGTCCTATCTACCCTTACATCAAATACTCTTTGCAGCACTTTGCAAATATAGTACAATGTCCGAAATCCAGACTGTTCTGGACTTCAGCGATTCCAGATTTGTGATTTTTCTGGATAGTATATCATCAATTTAAATCTGGTAAGATGACATGCAGAAATTATACAATGAAAAATATGAAATCATAATTTATGAATTAAAGAACAATTATGATCTAAAGGGTATCAAAATTTACAAAAAAAAAAGCTTAATATTTATTTGTTTACTTTATTAAACATTTCTTTTAATGTAAGTTGTTTAATATGCTTCTTTAAAAAATTCAAAAAGTTCCTTTCTTCTTGTGTCATATACAGTGGACTTTCCAATGCCATACTCCTTGTATAGTTTTGAGATGGATATACTTTTATCCATTTTTTGCAGCAATTCTATTTTTTTTTTTTTAATGGATATTGAAACATGGTTTCGCTTTGTAGATCCTTTGGCAACTCCAGAATTGGAAACTCTTTTCGACATAATCAAAAGTTCAAGCTTAATTAAGACACAATAACACGCCTAAATACTAATTCAGAAGTCAAACAACAAAAATCAGCGTAATTTTCAAAATATTACGCTGATTTTTGTTATTTGACTTCTGAATTAGTTTTTGTCGTTTGACTTCTGAATTAGTTCAAGCTTAGTTTTTATAAAATTGCCGTAATAATAACAGTCTGCAAAAAAATAAGAAGCTGGATCAAATTAGAAGATCAGGGAGCAGCGCAGTCTGCTACATTCATTGAAATGCCTTAAAATCAGCGTTAAATCAAATCTTAATCTTTAAATTAAATGCCTTAAAGGTAATTTTAGCCTAGCATAATAGCATCCGTTATACATTATTGGCTGTATATCACAAGATTTGCGACAAAAGCCAAGTTGTTTCACTAAATTTTGTCTTGCTCCTATTGAATTAAGCCTAAATTGTATTAGTTTAGTTATTTAGTATACCTACATTTATTTCTTGCACGTGCTTCAAACTAATCCGAGTAATAAATAAATAAATTCCCACATATACTTAAGGCTTTATCTAGGGCCGGCGTCCGATACTGCCTGGTGCAGTCTCTACGGGTCCTCAATATTCTGCTTCAAAGCGCTTTCCTAAGTTCTAAATTTTCACCGTGCCTAAACTTTGGATCCCAGTACTTTCCTTAAATCATAAAAACTTCTCATCCCTTAATTTTGCTGCTAGGTACTTCCCCAAATTCCAAAAATTTCATCTTCCCTAAATTCTCCCATCCTGTGCCGACATATTCTGCCGCCGCTTCTGGATTTATGGTGAATAACATATCAGTTATAGCACTAAATGTAATATTTTGGCCTATGAGTTTCATTAACAAAATCTATTTTTAGCATATGAAAAGAAATTTTTGTTGAATTTTTCCTCGTCAACATTTCTTAAAGCATTTAAAAAATCTATAATCATTGCTAAACATAATGTTTACATAAAAAGGTTGCCATACTCTTGTTATTTAATTACTAATATAAAAAAAGTTTAGACATCACAGCATGAGTTATTACTGAAGCTGTCATGTACTGATAAACATGCGGTGATGAAAGCAAAATATAATAAATAATAACTAGTCATGTCGACATCAGGGATATAAAAAATAGGTGAATGTTTTGGTTTGAGATGTATGCCAAGTAGATACTCATCTACGGAGCCAAATTACTAATCTCACAAATTTATGCTTACGTGATTGTTTTCCCATAACGAGGTATTTTATTTAGTTCATGAGTGAAATTAAAAATCGGAAGTTTTAAGTGAAAATCTCCACATGTTTTATTATGGAAGGAAAAATCAAATGCGCATGCGTAAAGCATTAATAAAAAAAATTTTGTGGCTTTGAGGTCCGGATTTTAGACCATTCCGGATAATGGACGTCTGGATTTCTGACTTTGTACTGTATTATTGAGTTGTTCACGTTGCCTGTAAGTACTACCATTAAAATTTACGGAGTTATGTTTTCAACTGTTTTAAAAAAAGACTCGCTTGTTCTTCAACAAATGCTGTTGACAATACATTGTTCAGGTAGTATAGTACCTTCATAGTATGTTTTTTCTGTTTTGTACAACTACATGTTACTGTTCTGGTTTCTAAAAGTGTTCTCCATTTTTCTTGCCTTAAAATGCACGCATACATGAAAAAGAGACTTCTTTTTGTCTTTTCTCTCTCTCTCTCTTTTTTTTTTTTTTTTTTTTAATTTTCTTTTTGAGCAGAATGTTCTGTTTCGTAGTAAATGAAACAACAGATGAGTATATTACTTGCTATGTTGTCAGTTTGTCAATTTCATTGCAAAATTAGAAGATAGGGCAGTTTATAGTCACTCCAACACAACGTTTGTTAAAAATTTGTAATATCTTATGAGAGCTGTAACCTTCCAGATGCTTTGAATGAATGCTTTTCCAGTTTTCAACAACTTGTGTTCCTGTAACATGAAGTCTGACACTGATGAGCCACTGCAACTGTCCCTTAAATGTTGTCATTAATAGTTTAAGCAAGATCTCTTGTTTAGGATATGATGCACTTTAAATTTTACCATGATGAATATCATGATATGCTTCCTGTAACTAATCTCGCTTGCTTGTATGATTCCTCTTTCAGTGTTATGACACTGAAATGCAATTAATCAGTAGCCATAACTTTTTTTTTTTTTTTTTTTTTTAACTAGAAGCATAGGTAGTGTTCTTTTTACTTAGGTTTACTTAGGGTATTGTGAAGTGAAATGTGTGGAAGGAACAAGCATGTCATCAGTGAGTTAAAGAAGCCACATGTTGATTGGCAGATCATTAACACTGTATTTAAGTATATTTGGTAAGTGAAATGTGCGTGTAACTACAAGAAATACAGTAACCCCTTAATGCATCAACCTCTTTCTTTATTTTAATTCAGAATCGTAGTGGGTATATTCTGTTATATTCATATCTGCAGGGGAAAGCAAAAATCTTGGACATATTTACTTGGCTGCATGAAAATAATTTAGTGTATCCAAATTAACTCAGTTGAGTGCATTAAGGAGTTAGTTAATTTCCTGTATTATACAAAATAATAATAATAATAATAATAATAATAATAACAAGGGATGTTTATCTGTATCTGCCTTAGCCTGATTGGTTAAATACAAGTTATGAGAGAGGATCAAAGTCTAGAATATAAGGTGTAGCTGCTAAAGTTTGTATACAGTCTACTGGTATTCTTTGGAAATTTTCTATACAAAGCATTATTTTAATTTCCAGTTCTGTGTTTGACTGTTTCCACTTAATCTGGTGTACTTTGCATTAGATTTTATATGAAGGATGAGAGTGCAAAAGTTTTCTGCTGACGATAAATTTCTACTCTATCAAAAACATGCTGAAATTTTTTCTGATTCTGCTTCTGTGTCATAATTAATGAAGCATTCTCTATGGGATCCTAAGAAGCATTCTAGGCTGAAAAACTTCTAACTGGAGCCAAAAATCAGAACAATACATTTTGCATTATCCACCCAGCACTCCTGCAATCACCAAATGTTTGCAACTACTTTTATGCCAATCTAACACCTGAAAAAATGTAGCCATTTTAAAAAGAAGGAAAATTACACACTGAAAATTACATAAAACGGCTATGAAAAATATAAAATTAAAAACGCAAGAACCATCCATAATGAAACAGCCAAAATTTCATAAAACAATAGTAAATAAACTAAATTAAAAAGTCACAAACATCCACAGTAAAATATTTAACTTTCTATTTTCTTGGTCCATGTGCGCAGCAACCTATTTTAACTTAAAAAAAAAAATCAGAGAATTGCAGAATTTTCTGCATTGCACAGCAAATTGGCACTGCTTTCCATATACATATTGACCTATTTTTAATCAGAGAATTGTAGAATTTCTTACATTACACAACTATGTGGCACTGTTCTCCATTTACACATCGACCTGCTTTAGCTTGAAAAAAATATCAGAGAATTGCTTTTATTAAAAAAAAAAAAAAAATTTTTTTTTTAAACATTTTTCTGTACTAGCCACACATACTTCTCACAGATAATTAATTGCATCAATATGTATGTAGTTGTATTCGGAAACATATCGAGACAACAAGAACTATAAGAATGACAAAAGCTTACCAGACATATATTCTTTAGACCAGCATTTCTTAAACTGTAGGTCGTGACCTCAGTTGGGGTCACGGGAGCTGCCAGTAGGGGATTGCCAAAAATTTTAGGAACTTTGACATTTCTTTCACTTGTTATAATAATTTTATAATTATCAAATATTTTTACATAATGTATCTGAAAATAGATAAGACAATACAGACAAAGAAAAACGAAAATGTGTTGATGCATTTTTTTATAATAGAAACATTAATTTTACTTTGAAAATTAAAGTCTGCAATAGTATATTGCAATACAAATGAAGAAATTAATTGTTTCACTTGTGCGTGTACCTTATATGTGCAATGCTTATGGGGTCCCACAAAATTTTGTAAATATTATGGGGTCCCTACACCAAAAAGTTTTAAGAAACCGTGCTTTAAACCTACAATAAGTAAAGCAAACAACTGTCGTAAATGATATTCGGATAATCTGAAACCAATTTTTACTTTCATTCAAATATTTTGTTGCCAATCTTTAACAGTACATTTTTATACAATTCGATCATTTGCTTCATGGGAATTCCCCATTACGTGCTGGCATAAGAGGCATGCAATCATTAGTGGACTGTCAGATAAAATACTTGTTTGTTATATTTTGGGTTGCCTACTTTGGTGACACAGTGCATTGCCAGTGATTCTTCCTCATCGCTGGGTGGATAATGTAAATGTACCATCAGAACAGCATATTGTAAAAACACCAATAGACATTCATATATCTTATAATGCTCATATTGTATTGATTTTGTAATTACTTAGTTGGTTCTGCTGTGGAAATTTGATTGAAGAAAAGAACAGTATTATTATTATTATTATTATTATTATTATTATTTTGTAGTATTCTTTTACATTGCTGCTGCTGTTTATTGGTGAAATGGCCCTGACAGTGTTTGCCTTTGTATTTCCTAATCAATTTATCAATATCGTAAAAGAAGGTTTATCTAAGGAACCCATTGTTAAATACAGGGATGATACCAACCTGCAAAATGTCATTGATGCCTTTCAAACAGAGGTAAAATTTTAGTTTTTTTTCAGTTTTCTATTATATAGTTTTTCTTATATATCTCCATTTATGTATTTTATGCTAATTAGTACTAAAAATATATGTATAAAATTCTGAATTATTTGTTAAATACTTTTATGTAACTCATTTATGGATTTATTTTTATGCTCATTTCTTTAAAAAAGCTTTCATTTACATGATTTTTGAAGCTGTTTTAAATAACCTGAACCAAATTGTCATGAAATGGTATCTTTTTAACCCCTTAAAGACTAGTGAGCGTAGAACGAAGCACAGTCATAGGACTGCACCTGCTGAAATGAATCGTCGCCACCGGCCCGCACGTTTTCAGCAGTTTAGCCTAATTTTACAAATATATATATATATAAAATCAGCATTTTGATATAATTATTTCAATTTTTAAAAGTTGCATACTTAATGTACTTGTTTTTTAATGCGTAATAATATAAAGAATTAATAGAAATAAATTAAACAGGCAAAATACGAAAATCATAACAATACACACAGAAATAAATATTATAAACATAAAAACAAAATTACAAATGCGGAATTTAGAAAAAGAGAGAAAAACTGAGCAAGAATTACCTCTAGGTAATTAAATTCCAATTTAAAAATCGTGTTTTGTGTGAAATAATTCAAAACAAGGATTGACACACAGTCCTACATTGCACATTTTTCACTCAAAATACGTAGTTTGCTTTCACTTTTCCTTGTTTTTAGAGCACGCAACACATCTTTTCGTACCTTTATTACCTTTACCATCAATGTAAATTTTCGGAATATGTCTTCCAGTTAGACAAAAATGTTGAGTGTCTGGTGATTTTGGACAAGTTTTTAAGTAAGGTTTCTAAGCCATCACTAATCACTAATGAAATGCAACTGAATATAACCTCAACACATGTCCCAAAACTTCTTCAAAAGACGCCCAGAAATATTTCATCCTCAAACCCTGTGTGAGATCAGATTTATATTAGAAAACTTTCTGCTTTTCTAGATTGAAAAACAGTGTTCGCCAGATGACCGGAAAGTTGTCAAGAAAAGATCCCCATTGGTGGAATATCTGTTACTGATCACGTCCAACATATATATTATATATAATTACATTATATGTAAAGTAAATACATTATATACCAAAATATAATGCCTGGGTCATTATATATAATGAGCATTCAAGACATTATATATAATGACCTAGTAAATCGAGTAATGAAAACAAAAAGGAGATATACTTTCCGGAGAAATGTGAGCGAGTAAGATGCATTATGCGCTGAGAAAGCTGATGGTATCTCCCCTTCTGTAATAATGTTGTAATGTTACTTTTTAATTAACCAAGAAAGCTTATTTTAAGTTTCAAAATAAATGGAATAAAGGATAACTGGTCTTGAGTTTTTCCATCACAGAAGTTTGGCGATGTTACACCTGCTATAGTCAGCTGAATGCACTTTCCTAACAAAAAAAGCAAATAAGATAAACAAAAAAAAAAGGAGCTGGATGCACTTACCCACATTCTAATAACAAAAACGCAAAGAACAAAAATGAAGAAAAAGAAGGAGAAATTCCTAACGAAAAAACAAAAAATGCACGTGCCCCTTTAATTCACAGGCTCACTTATAAAGATCCGTGATTCCCAGTTTGTTTATACCAATAAATCTATCAAAACCATAAGCACAGAACAGAAACTAATGCCAGTACACAAAGGTCAAATGCGATATGAATCAACTTATGTGAAAACAGTTACCATTTAGCTTCATATAATGGCTTTTAAAAATGCAAATAAATCATTCCGTTTTTCAGGTTATGTCTGCGTGGCACTGGGCTCCAGAGATCGATTGCAGTTCTTCGCATGTCCAATGAAACAAATTTGGATGTCCAATGATATTGGTGCATCCAAATTTGTTCTCCAATCAACAATGTTGTCTTATTGTTATTTATTTTACATAAAGAATTAACTTAGTCTTTAATTAGTTCTAAATCCAGAAAAATAACCATCATTTTCTGTTTGAATGAAGAAAATGAGCATGCCTTTTGCAGCATTTTTTTCTACGTAGACTTGGAGATAGTAATTTTTAATTTGAAAATTATATGGTGTCATTATCTTATTTGCTGCTTGCATTTTAGAGGCTATGCTGTAATCAGGTATTGGCAAATTTTTGGTCTTCTGCTGCAATATCTGAAAAACTTGAAATTTGTGACTATCATTATAAAGCTTAGAGCTAGCATCTGCTATACACTGTTGGTGATCAGAGTGGCAGCTAGAGACATGTTGTTCCACTAAATTTAGTCTAGCTTCTATCATGCACTGAAGAAGTTATGCCCATATTATATTATTTATTTTACTTACATCTACAAGAGCTTCTGGTGAAAATTGCAATAATGCATTCGCCAAATAAATGCCCATTTTATTAAGTAACAAATTTAGCAACCTCCTGATGTTTATTTGGATGTGGATTTAAATGCATCATTAAATTTTAACTAATTTTAATAACTTTTAAATAATTAATAACAGTAAATTTTAATCTAGTGATAGAAGTTTACGATGTGCTTTGTGTTACTTATATGCTTGATGTACACTCCGCAAGTAAAAAAAAAAGAGAGAGAGAGACAGTTCTTTATCTCCCGTTCTACTGGGCCAATTGACAAAATTCAAACTGCATTTTTCATGTCTTGAACGCACAATTTAGGATATACATTAGATTTATATATACAGTCAAAAGTTGTTACTCCAGACTCGTCGGGACTACGGTGATTCCGGATTATCGATTTTTCCGGATTATAGATCATCAGTTTAAATCTGGTAAGATGGCATGCAGAAATTCTAAAATTAAAAATATGAAACCGTAATTTATGAAATAAGAACAATTATGATCTAAAGGGTATCAAAATTTACAAAAAAAAAAAAAAGAGCTTAATATTTATTTGTTTACTTAATTAAACATTTCTTTCAATGTAAGTTGTTTAAGTTGCTTCATTTTATGCGATAATACTTTCTCTTTAATTCTATAAACAGACATAATTTCTTGTTCAGTTACAAAGTTCCGCTGTTCAAGTCCTATAATTGCTGTGTCGAGAATACTGATAAGAATACTGAATAATTTGTCGAGAATACTGAATAATTTGTCAATCGAAATTTTTTCGTTTTCAATAGCCTCTGTGTCACTTTCTTCACTATTGGAAGCGAATTATAATGATGAGGAATGTGATTTAAATCATATCAAAGACAGAGTACATCGAGATGAAATACTAAATTTAGTAAGGAATTATAAGCCAAATAAAATAAAAACATGTGCCCTGAAGATAAGGATAGTGCTGACAGATCAACTTCCAATTCATTGCGTGCTGCGGCATTTCCCCCCGTTGCAGAGCAGCATGAAATTTATAAACAGATTTCGGAATGGTTAGAGAAACAAAGGATATGCCTTTATCCATTTTTTGCAGCAATTCCACTTTTTGTTTGATACACATCGAAACATACTTTCGCTTTGTATATCCTTTGGGAGCTCCAGCATTGGAAATTCTATTTGATATAATCCAAAGTTTAAGCTTACTTTTATAAAATTGCTCTAACAGTCTGCAAAAAATAATAAGCCGGATCCAATTCGAAGATTAAGGAACAACGCAATCCGCAACGTTAATTGAAATAGATAATTATATAATTTTAGCTTATACCGTCCGTTATACATTAAACGCGCATGCGTAAACGTATTATGCGCACACGCATATGCACAGCTGCAAAGGTTTTACGCGCAGTCGTAAACGCCTATGCGCATGCGTCAACACGACACATGCGCAGAAAGTTTGTAGCTTTGAGGTCCGGATTATGGGTGTCCAAATTAATGACTTTTGACTGTATAGCATTATTCTAACATAGGTATTTTGACACAAAAGCAGACTTTTTCTGAAATAACATGCCCTTTTTTTTTTCGCATATTTCGATTCTACAACTCAAATTATTCCTAAATATTAAATTTTGTAAAATTTGGTGCAAAATTTACGGAGAAATTCAAAAACTTATATTTTCACTTTTTTTTTTTTGTTGTTGTTGTTGTTTGTGCCAAGAATAGTTAGTTCACTTAGCAAACTTCTTAATATATGGCAACCAATTTTCCTTTCCCTTAAGTCAGTTATTATTTTAGGTAATTTTGAAATTTTTATTTTAATTGTTTTTGTTGCATTGTTTCTTCAGATAATTGTTTTAAAATTTTCTGTTCATTCATTCGAACTGTGCATTTTAAATATATTTATTAATATAAATTTTCCAGAATTTGATTTTATTTATATGAATTGTGTTTCTTTTGGAGGAATACTTCCAGATTGCAATGCATTTGAAAACTGCATATATTAAAAGAGAAAATACAGTAATGCACAGTGAAAATGCCTTTCAATGTTCTGTTCAGAAAAGGTATATAAATGAAAGAGTTGTATATCCGACATTTTAATTTAGGATGACTTGTATACATTGCTTTAAACAGTTTTATCATTGTGCCCATTGGTTGACACAATTTTATCATCCTACATTTAATTTCTTAAAGTGTTATTCATATTTTAGTCAAATATTTTGTTTTTGAAATCGCAAGAATCAGATATCATAAAACTAAAAAATTTTTAATTAAAAAAGTACTAAATTTTATGCAAAAATTTATTTTTTCTTCTTAATGGCTTACTCTTTTTCTTCAGGCATTCTTATTAGTATTTCTTCAGGCAAGTATTAAAAAAGCATCCAACTTTTCTAAACATCTTGGTATTTCTGACATTAATTTTAAATAAAGTTATTGCCTTCCATTTCAAAAGGCCAAGCTGTAAAGTCGCTAAACACTGGTAGATCACTTCGGGGCTTGAATCCTAGCGAACGGGCTGGTTACAGGTGCATTTTCGTGGTTTTTCTCATGTGTAACCAGGGTTCGTAGCGGTCCTTACAAGTGCTTATAAGTCCTTATATTTGAAAATAAAAGAAAAAATCCCTTATAGGTGCTTACTTTTTCTCTTACTTTTTT